AAATGCATGAGGGAGTAATTTGAACGTTTTTGTTTTTTGGTTGGAAAACCGAGAGGGACCCTTAAAAATACCTAAAACTTCGACAGTTTTAAAATCCACAAGAACAACAAAGTGTTGCGTAAAAATATGACCAAGAGCATGTCAAATATAATATGCAACTTATGGAGTATCTCAGCCAAAAATCAAGAAAAATGAAAGCAACAGGGAGAGTTTTAAAACAGCCAGTGAGGCCTTTGGGGTTCAAAACCAGACTAAAATCAAAGAAAAGTAGTATCCTTAAACCCGAAAATGCAATTTCTAGACAGCTTCAGAACTTGGCGAGCACAAGCGCATCAGGGGACAGTCAGAATCTCATCAGAAGTTCAACAACAGTACTAAATTTCAGCGGTCCAGATACTATAACAGTATAATGAAGAGAAATAACGGAGGATATTCTGACATTTTACCATTCTGAAATAGCCAGGCTTGTAATATCCAAGGCTCAAGCCTTTAACCAAGAAGTAGTTCTTCATCATAACCATTCTCACATAGGATCAGTCAAATATATTTTAGGTACCACATGAGCGAAACATGCCAGAGATGTTACTTATAGACCAAGTTACTTCGATAATGATAGAAGGAGCACCCACTGAAATATCTCAGTCACAATCACAAACTCGCGGTGAATACATACAATATCCACAGGTATGAATATATAACTAAGAGCATAGTATAAAAACATGCTCTAAAGCATAGTGACTATATTCATGAGTGAAAAGGGAATGGAAAAGAATAGTGAGGCATGCATCAAAGAGGAACGGGCTCACCAGCACAGTAACTACGTACATATTCATGGGCATGAGTAAAATTAAGAAAATGGAAAAAAGATAACAAAGAAGGAACTCACTTTTATAAAATAATCTACACCCCGCATTAACAAACGTTGATTTTTGTGTAGTAACACACTCTAAAGAAGAAACAATTTCTCTTTCGAACAAATTAATATTTTATTGATCTGACAGTGCGTGCATGCACTCCTCAATCAAGACCCCTATAATCTTATGGGACATGTCAATGGAACATTTGAGTTCAACCTGTTCTGTATTTGGTTAACTGGAGAGGACCAAATCTAAATAAGTGAATCATTTGTGGGGGAGCAGGTCAAATACGGTTAAATTCATGTCTGCCACTTTTTTCTTTTTTCTTTTTTTCTGTGGCTGGTAATCTGATGATGCCTCGCGTGTGCTTGCGTTCAGCGTGCAAGGGAACATGAACAAGCCAAAAGCTAGTCTCCCTGTCATTATGTTCACTCGGTGTTTTATTTTAATTTCAAGTATTTAATTTCCAATTATCTTGTTTATCAATTCAAACCAGGTTTTATATATATAATCTTAAGAATGCATCTTTCACGTGGATTTTGTGCATTCAAAAAGAATAAATTCTCTTGTATATTGATTTTAAAACTTGGAAGAAACGGAACAAAACTCTTTAATCACCATACTTAATTACCCCTCAGGATTAATTACCTCGTTTTCGTCCTTATTTCTTCTTCACTAACCCAGGTAAGGAGGCGCATGCATGAGCATAGGCTCAGACATTGCATGATTCATTGCCAAGAAAAGATACTACCATATGCAGCTGCTTCAAGTAGAGGGGACCCAACGAGCCCAGATTTGGTGAAGTATTTCATGGGGGAAGATAGATCATGTTCGTTATGGAGGTGGATTTCTTGCCTAGTAATTATGAGTGCTTATTTAGTGGTGACCTTGTGGGGTTTGTGTGCATGTTTTGCCCCATTCTTTGGTACTCATGTTGGAATATATTCAACCCTTTTCCAAGGGCCAATGCGCATAATAACCCATAATCCTCAAGTTGTACGCAAAATTGGCCCCCTCATAAGCTAGGCAGTGAAGACATGATCCTGAGATGTTAAAAGTTTATATTACACTGTAATTATATTTGATGGAGGTAAAACTTTTTAAACTTTAAATTAATTTACTACACTGTAATTATATTTGATGGAGGTAAAGCTTTTTAAACTTTAAATTTACATTGTTTTTCTATTATTTTATATTTAATTTTTATCAATTAAAATAAAATAATAAAATTCAAACTTGTATGGCCAAATGTGATTGAATGGTTCTAATCCAATTTTAATTTTCCATTTTATCTCAACTTTTCAGATAAATACATGTTCATATGGACATGGCCAATTTCGTTATCAACTTTCCCCGATCTTCCAGTTAACACTAATATTTGTATAATAATAGTAATAATAATAACAAAGTATGTTATCTCTCTTGATTTTCTATATTTGAATCTTTGGATCAAATATTTAAAAAAAAAAAAACAATTTCTAGATACATTATGTTGATGCAAGGAATTCTCAACTAAAGAAAAATTTTAATCTCAAATAGGATGCAACTAAGAATACCACAATAAAAAAAATAAAAAATTAAAAAAAATAGTTATATCAAGTAGGTGTATTGATGGTCCGGTTTAGTTCGGTTTAGACTTAAAAAAACAATCCAACCAAATTATATTATTTTTGTGAATTTTTAATAAAATCAGATCAAAAACCGGTTCAAAATAAACTGGTTCAATTCGGTTAAATTCAATTTAAAAAAAAATCAAGAAACCTAATCTTATTATTTAGACTCATTCGTTTAGCAAAGCAAAGAAGATCTATTTTGATTTCAATTCCTTAATTGAAACAGCTAGAAATACACAACATGAGAAACCATACTCTACGGTCTAGTCTAACTGATATTCCCAAACACTTCATCAAGATAAAGAAATAAAATAGCAAGGAGAGGAGTGAGGCCTCACTAAACTAATTCATATAGCGAATCTAAAAAATAACGATATCAACCTATTTTTACTTTATTGACTAAATCACTATTTTTTTAGTTTGTAGAAGCATTCGATGAGGAGGTAGATATTTTGCTTCCATCACAACTATTAACTAACTTAAATAATTTTTTTAAAAATATATTGACTCAAGTTCACTATATAGACAGAGAAAAGAGTGAAAAAGGAAGATTGAGAATTAATTGAGAGAAAGATTGAGAATTTTTCTGGAAAAATGGTGATTTTTTGTGAGAAATAGAAAGAAGAAGGTTATGTTAATGGTTAGGGTTAGTCTATTAGGTTATAATTTAACTATTTATACTTTAAAGATTTTTGTAATTTTTAACTTTTAGTGTGTTTGGTCCTGTTTCTAGTTCAAAATAAAACCAAACCTGTTAAAATTTATGATTTTGAAAATTGGTTTAATCTGTTTTTTATTTTGATTTAGTTTTTTCAATTAATTTTTCTTATATTTTATTGATTTTCTTGATTAATCGGTTATTTTAAACATCTCTTGATACACAAGTACAAACATATCTATATATTAAAGTGTGATAAATTAGACAATTTGAAAACTCTAAGTGCACAAGGTAAATAAATGCTTTAAAAAAATAAGTATTTAATATCGTTTTTTTTTTTAAATCTTGAATGAAATGAAATGAGTTTTTGTTTTTGTATAATAACATGTTTTTATAAATCAATAATTTATTTTTAATTTTTTAAATTATTTTAATAAATTGATATAAAAATTTTGAAAAATATTATCTTAATATATTTTTAATTAAAAAATTAAGTAAACGCAGTCAATTTCCAGGGAATAAAGATTCATATTAAATGATTACACATTGGACGTGTTGGAAGCTCTTCCAGGAAGATGTGGATGCCAGATAGCACGGAGTATGAACAGGGAGACTAATGGATGACTAATGCCACAGTTGATTCATTCAACTTCATTGTCACATGATCATATCAACGACGACCTGAAGTCAAGCGAGTAATTGCTGGGTAGATTCATGTCATATGCAAGAAAAACGACAGTCAGCACATGGCATAAACCTCTACAGGCATTTCACATATTCAAACTAAAAAAGATGAAAGATTTCCCCATCGCCAAAGGATTCCATTTTATTTGAGCTGTCGCCATCTCAATTCTTTAAATAAATAAAAAGGTGTTTTTAAAGATAGGATCAACGTCTGTAAAAAAGTATTTAAAGGGAAGGTAGCAATTATTATTGTTTTAATATATTTTTATTTTTAAATTAAAAATATTTGAAAAATATTAATTTAAAGTAAATAAAGATAAAAAATTTTAATTTTTTTAAAATACACCTAAAAATAAACATACTCCCTGCAAGATTAATAATTAAGTAAAACGTAAATGAGCTTAACTTGTTGGTAACCAATAATCTAGATATTATTTTAAATTTAAAGGGTGTTTAAAAATATAATTATAATATTTTTTAAATTATATTTTATTTAAAAATACATTAAAATAATTTTTTATTTAAAAATACATTAAAATAATTTTTCATTTAAAAAAACTTATTATCGATGTCGTCATATTAAAATCATCTAAAAATACGAAAAAAAATATTAATTTAAAATAAAAATATTAAATTTTTAAAAAATATTTTTTTTAAAAAAAAAAAAACAGCCCCAGCCAGCT